TATCAGATCACTGTCATCAGATAAACAAATGGCTAGAAACGGTATAGATTCGATCCCTAGTTCCAAGCTGATTCAAGATCAGGTAATGATTACTCGTCGTTTGCGAATCATCATCGATATCCGGAGGCTCAAACACGGGCCTAATATCGGTCTTGTCGGCTGGTGTTCTCGGAGCTACATACCTAGTTACGAGTTATATTATAAAAGCTTCATAAGTCCAGATGTCTTCAAGTAAGCACTCTGTACGACATCATAGCTTAGAAGACATGTTCCCATGAGTTATCTCATGAGTCTAGAGGAACTAAATCTCATTAGTAGAGAACATACGATTCTCCGTTATGAAATTAACACTTAATTAGTCTACCTAGGATTTTGGTATCATCGTCAATTCATCTCTCCTTGCCGTTACACCTGAACGTGCTATGCTCTCCAGGTATCGCAATCTATCAAACGGGTATGATTTTGAAAAGAAAAAAACTCGAAAGGACTTGCAAGGTAAAAGCAAACGACCCCGCGATGCTGAGCAAGCAGTTTTTAATCGGAACTGCTAACCTATTACCGCACGACGCGTAATAGCCCCTCCAAGCACTTAACGCGAACTACCTCGTAGCTCCACAGAGCTGTGACTCTTAGCGAATCTCTAACTGTGCGTGCCCATCTCGACATCGGCCGGCCGGGATCTCTTGCTGCCCATGCTGAAGAAACCCCTACCTGACCCGCCCGATCGGTTGTCGTGGGTCCTTGCTGGAGCGGGCTGTGCTGGAGCAACACCACTCTCTTGAGGAGGGTAGTCGGTTCGTGATTGACTAGTGGATGTGTCGCCTTGGCGCGGAGGTCGGGATGGCGCACGCTCAGGTGACTTTTGGAACCGATCATACTCGGCTGCATCGCTAGGATCGACGTCCGGCACTGGCAGTCTACTATCGCGGAGATTCTTCTGACCCTTCTTACGGAGATAGTTCTCCAACGTGACTGCGTTGCGCGTATTGGCGAGGATGAGGGCGTCTGCGATGTCTCCGACAAAGGGAACCAACCCGGCGATGAAGTCGATGAAGACCAACACGTACATCCAAGCCCATATCCGAACCGGCAGCCCTCCTTCAACCTGCTTGGCCGTGCGGACCACCATCATCGCCAGGAGCGCATCCACAACATCTCCTCCTCTGTTGTAGTTCATGTCCATTAGCATGCGATCAAGGTCTTAAAACCAGGAAAGTCACTTACACTGGGACGAGGCCAATGACACTGCCCCAACCTAGCTTCAAACCCATGAAGCTACCAAAGTTCATATCCAGTCTGTATGCCCTTCTCTTCACCTTGGTCAAGACCATGGCATCGTGCTCTGAAAGACCGGGCGGCAATGCTTTGCGGACTTTCTTAGATTTGCCCGTCGGGGTACCGTCAAGTCTCGTCGCGGGAACTTGCTCGAAGTACGGATCCTATAATTTCACATTTGACGTTAACACCGTTCGCGATTGAACCCCCTCTGCCTGTCATCAAGAGGTTATGTTACTTACACTCATCCCAAATTGGTTGTTTGCCGTCTCTTTAAGGACCTTCTTGGTCACGATCTTCGCGATGACGCCCGCCATTTTGTAAGGCTGAGATGTAGACGACTTCTCAGAGATAGGCGAATAAAACGAGGAGTAGGGAAAGACAATTGTCCAGGAGAAATATGTTAAATAGGTAAGAGTCTTGGTCGTTGGTCCAGGTAAAGAATATTATGATTGAAGCGGTGGCGTCGGCTCGGTGGGGTGACGGGGATGGAATGGACAATTGGACAAGCGCTTACAGTCCCAGCGCTTAGTGAGACGTTAAAAGCTTTTGACAGGAAGTGACAACAAAGAGAAGGTTGTCGTTTTTTATTATTGTAGGAACATGCAACGACGGCCAATTAAGCATTACTAGTAGGTACGTAATCCTAGCTGTGATTGCGACGTTTTTCAAGTTTTACCGTTGGTGGTCGATCTTGTATGATAGGCCGATACGAGAGGTAGCCAAGCTTATCCAGCTCAGACGAGTGATGATGTCAAACCGCAGGCGGTAATGCACTACACAAATAAGGTTAATTAGAACTACCGCTTTTATGCACACCATTTAAGATCCTAAAGGCTCGTGCACCTGAAGATCGTGGCTGAGTTATCTGATGTGGCTAGTGTGTCCACCATCCAGTATCCTCAGCCACGTTTAATAAATCTGCTCTCGCCTCCTTCGCGACGTCCCCTATCTACCTCCAGAACATACAATATCCTATACCTTAAGGTCTTGGAGGCCTCCTAATCCGACTTACGCGTCTTTATACTCTTACACAAAGTACATGCATAGATCTTTCACTATTCAAATAGCACTTCTAAGCAATCGCTAGATTTCCAAAGCAGATAATGGTCCAATCCAACCCCCCAGTCTATGTCTATTAAAAATTACAGGATGTCTATCTCCCTATATATCATTATATGATTTTAGAAAATATGGTCAACGATCTCTGTTCCAATTTTGAGATCGAAGCTCACTGTTGTTAGAGAGTACCTATCCTGGCTGCTTTCAATTATCACCTTCGAACCCTTAGTAGTTGGTCTGGTCTTAGATAATGCTTGTCTTCTTCGGCTTTCCCATCATCGTCATAGATGTCACGAGGATGAGCAGCCCGCCGATAACAATGGTTGATCCTGCCCAAAGCTGTGCCCATATATATTTGCCCCCGCTGGCATCAATGATGGCACCCATAGTAGGAGGTCCAGCCAAAGTCGCAAATCCGCAGATGGCGAACACCATTCCGATCCAAGTCCCCATCTTCCTCACGTCTTCTACAAAGCTACTCGCAGCACTTGAGAAGATACCCTGGGCAGCTCCATTCACAAAGCCCATGACGACGGAATAGGCATACATGTCTGCCCGCTTGCGGACGCCTATCCAGCCAAATGCCATGATTCCCAAGGCGATGCAGTTCAGACCGAAGGTGTTGACGGGTCCGACATAGCGGTCGGCGATGTAACCAAATAGAGGCCGCGCCGGGATCGCAACAGCGTTGGTAATGAGCACAAAGTTGATGGATTCTTCCTCGCTCAGCCCGATACTCTCACGAGCGAACGAGTTGATCTTGACAGAAACAAAATTAGCATCCGGTCCACGAGTTTCCTTACAAAGCACAAGGAAAAACGTTAGGGACTCACATATATTAACATTGTAAACAGGGAGAAATATACAAGGAAAGCCCCGGCCGAGAACATGACGTAAGGGGCATTCCTAAAGGCGCTCCAGTCGACAATCGGTGCTGGGATTCTTCTCAAGTTCCGAGGCTTCAGGATACTAAATCCAATGACGGCCAAAACCAAGGATATGAATCCACAAGTTCTAACTGCCCACCCGAAGCCTATACGCGGCGTCAGGAACTGGACGAGTGCCGGGAACAGTATAGCACCCGTGCTCGATCCGCATCCATTCAATGCCACAGCGAATGACCGCTTCTTTTTGAAGTATTGGGCAACGTTTGCAGTCGCTGGCATGAACATCAACCCGCCGCCAATGCCGTTGCAAAATCCCTGTGCAAGCAGGATCTGCCAGTACGTTCGCTCTAGACTTGTCATGAGCATGCCGAGCACGCACATGACAGCTCCGACGGCGTACAGGATGCGTGAGTAGCCCGCGTCAGAAAGCCGGCCGGACACCATTCCTACAAGGAAGCATAGGAAAATCTGGGTTGAGCCTACCCAAGATACCTGGGAGGCCGGTAAGTGCATGGTTTGCTTGTAATAGAGCTGGAAGACGGAGAAGCCTGTCCCGTATCCCCAGGACATCATGTTGGCGATATGGGCTGGTATTACTTGGGACCAGGCCAGCCACCCACCATCAGGCGGCTCCTCGAGGGGTACGGCAGACGAAGGCTCGGATATGATCCCGACGGACATCTTCGAGGATGGGGTGCTACTGCTCCCGGTCCCCTTTTCGTCCAATCTTTTCGCCATAGTTGCCGTAGATTATTCGGACGCATCGACTTGGCTCGAAGGCAACGAAAAGAACAGCAAGAAAAAAACAGTTGAACTCTTCACATCAGACACGTATAGGGCAAAGCTTATAAGGCCCTTCTACAAGGTACTTGGCTCAGCCGGCATACGACGCAAAACTCAAAAGCTCTACCATTTGACACCATTCGAACGACTCCGACACCGCTAGCTTCTACGTGGCTGTTGATGGCGGCATACATGAAAAACCATTGCAAACCCACTAAAAGGGCGTCATCAACAAGATACGATAGACTGATGGATAGATAGACACACATACGTCCGATCGTAGATGAGAAGCATGAGTCCCGCGGTCTTCACGTCAACTATTTCGGGGACCGGAAGGGGAACGGAGCACCGAACTTCCTCATATGAGTCCAAGTCCCCGCTTCGCCCTATCAAGAACCAGGAGTATGTTGATAGTCAAAGTCGCAATGGACCAGTCACATGTTATGAATAGGATGAATGTCAAGGAAACCGGATCCAATTACGCGATTGCTGGTCTTCTAACGGCCGCGATATGAGAATATGAAGCTGGAGTGCGCTCTCGGACCGATGCAATGTTACGACTCCACCCATGTTGAAGTGTTGATCATTTGTCAATTCTCCATTCTTCGGTCTCTGTGAATAAGGCTCGGTGAAGTACGCCCTTAAGCAGTTTGCTGTAAGCCGTCGTCGTTGATATCGACATTCAATCCTGGAAATAATCCTATTGGCGCCTGATATTTGGGGACTTTGCTTCGATAGAGCGAGATGGCTCTAAAGTTGTGGCACCTTGTACGTCCTAGTCGCGGAGACTATCATGTAGTAATAGGAATTAAGAGGATAGAGTCCGGCGCCTACGTGATAGGCCGAGGGGTTCAGACCGCTTGTATTTTGGGCCAAACTCAAGCCCCACTAACTATCGCCCGAGGGTTCGACCCGTAGCCAATCAAGCGAGTGCATTAGCTGGCTAAACAAGATATAAGTAGCACATTAAGAACCCTGAAATTCAACGAGGAAAGTCGCGTGTTCTAATGGTTATGATTTCTCGTTCACAATTGAATGTGTTCAAAGTTCCGAGAAGGTTCCGTGTTCGATCCACGGCGTGACTAAACTTTTGCTTCTCTCCTGACTTTCTCAGGCTATTGAGAGGATTGACTTTTTATCCCTTTCTATTTCATCTCCCTTTTTAATTTAATTCACAAATTCAAATGTCGCATCATTATGTCTCCTAGAGACCCATAGCTAAGTCTCCCTTTATCCCTTACCACTTCGATCACATCTCCCTCTGGATTTATATGAGTTCAATGTCGACCCATTGAAATAATTATGACTTTAAATCGGTCATTAAAAATCTGAAGAGCGACGACTAGTTGTCGTCTTAGGGAATTATATGGATGGAGTTACAACAAGACGTATGCTTGGGTCTCTAGGAGATAGTGTCTAAAATGAATATGCAGTTCAACAAATTCTAGTGATAAAAAACCCTCTATTCCATCGAATGATTCCGATGTAATTGAATAATACTAAGATGATGAAACGCGATATCATTACTTCGTTGCTAAAAATAAGTAAGGCAGCGAAGGCGAATGCTCATGTAAGAGGCCGCTACAAGCCAGGCATCGTGACAATGTCCCTGACACAAGAAATGCGGCACCATCACTACATGTAACTATTCCATATATGAAAGCGCCACGGTCGGCTATGGAATACGAAGTTCGCGCTGGCAGGAGGCGTCTAGAATATTATATGCATATAGGGCTTGACAGAACACGTCGTATAGTCTCGGCTTGCTGCAGAATAATGAGCGCAGAATAACGTCATAAGCCTTTGAACTCGAATCCCGGAGCCTGTCGTGTAGAGAGAGTAGTATATTGGGGGCCGGGGGATAGCTAGGTACATGGTTTGTAGACAAGGCTCGGACATGGCTTCTCAGAGAGAGACAACAGCCTCGCATCATGTTCGCCGGACAGATAGCATCGACCGGGTCGATCTACGAAAGATGGTTCCCGCATCTGTCGCCTCACTCGCTCACTCAAACCAACTTCTTCGTCTGGCGCGGTTCGAGAAAATATTCTAACGGCACTTACTTATCAAACCGGTTCAACCCCCAGGTTTACACAACTTCCGTTCGTCCAACTAATTCCCTCTGCAAATCCCAAGACACGTGTATATTGGTTTGCTCGTGACTAGGTACTGTTTGAGCGACCTTTCTTATTCCCTGCACCTAGCCGGCGACAGCTGGGGGAGGGGGCTTAGGCGGCAGCTGGTGAGAAGTCACAAAATTATCGACTTAATATAAAAGTCTGTGTAAGCCAGACTGCATCGTTAGGTTGGCGTAGATTATTAGATCGTCGGGAATTCTTTTTTTAATATCGGGTTTTAAATAGCTATTAACAGGTAGCCAAGGAATTACCTCGTATATGATATCGCTGGAATCTGATATGTAAGGTACCCAGACACAGTAGTAGAAACCCGTCTTGAGATTGCCGATGGATGGGATTTCATGTATATTATCGCCGTGTTTCTAAGTGATTGTAATTCCTCTATACCAGGTACTTAGTAGCTGGCCGTCCTTGAAGTAAGGGGGGAAGGAAAGTAGCCGAGAAGACGTGACTTGCGTCAGACCCGACACGCCGGCGCCAGAAAGATCGATATTCTCTCTTCATAACCCTCTTCTGATATATCATTCGCGAGAGAAAATCGATAGTATGACAAAATATATCTTGTCACGCTCGAGAATCGTCGATATCACACCGCCAACCTCGTGTTGATCAGCATGATCTAACTCCGTAACTGTAACGTCAACTTGGTGTGTTCGTGATAGGGTAAGAGGGCACGTCGAGCAGGGTTCATCTGTCTCTTCCATTCGGTCCCAGTTTGAGAGGGAGGGACTGTATTACCAACATCGACATATTCGGCTGATCAATGCCGTTGTTTTCCTTTTCTCTTGCTTTAGTATCAAGTTGTGTATAGGTAAGTAGTTGTCTTACGGGCTTAGGGATCCTTAAACGTGCTTCTAATACACTTGGTCGTCTGGCGATCTGCCTCTAGCCTCCTATATCGCCGGTTATTATACCCCGAACACCGAAGCCACTTATATCAACCGTTCTTATTGATCTAGAGGAAGGACCTGGTAGATTGTATATATCATGTCTAGAATGCAATTTTGGGACCTCGTTGGTTCTTCTCCAAGATCGAATACGAAATGGTGTCAATGTAAGGAATACTTTTGGGTGGAAATAACGGGCGCACGCTATGCTATGCTCACCGAAGACGAGGCCTTCCTAATGTCGCGCCAGAAGCGATGTCCTTCGCTTCTCGTCTCGTATGACACTATTCATGTAACACTGGTTAGGACTAATGCCACGACGCCCGCTTATGTTGAAGAAAAAAGGCACGATAACCGCCGCTCAACTGCAGTGCGACCCCATACGTCCCTCGCTAATACCGGCAATTCAGGTTTCGGTTCGCGGAGCGAGGTATCAGGCATCCAATAACGTCTCATCCACCTCCCAGTCCTCCCAGCTCGGCTTGTCGTACCCATTGGGCCGTGCTGGTCTAACGTGACCAATCTTAATTCCATCCACTTCCAATGGTTCCCTCGGCCAGGTCACTACGCCGCCGAACGCCTCGCTATAGGCGCTCTGCATGATAGGCTTCGCGAATAGCGTCGGGTGTAGGTACTTGACGCTACGTAGAGCGCGTTGGCTGACCTCGTCGACGGAATCATTGTGGCGCAGCTCGAAGAAATAGGGGTCGTGCTCGCGTCGTAGTTGGTCTTGGACGTCGGTAGGTAATGTGCCGAGAGATAGAAGGAAGAGGTCGTACTGCGACAGGCTGGTCCGGCAAATCCAACTTCCACCCTGCGTTGCCCGGCGATAGATGCCCGAGAGCGCCGCGATGGTGCCGACACATCCTGTACCGTAGTCGGACATGGGGAAAGGTGGAACGACCGGCTCGTTGAGTCCCATAAAAAGGCCTTGCTCCCATGCCACGCCCGTGACGCAGTCGGCGATTTGTTGCCAACCTGGACGGCTGGCCCATTCCGCGCCCTTTTCGACACCGCCAAAGCAGTCCTCCGCGACGTAGACGATACCCCTACCGCGCTGCGCCGCCTTCGCTGCGAGACCTTCGGGGCTATAACCGAGTCCGGCAATGACGCCCGGTCGGTACCCATCGATGATTACATCCGCCGTCTCGAGGAGCGACTCGAAAACCTCGACGTCGTCTGCGTTCTTGAGGTGCAGGGATGTCGTGTGCTTTCCGGTGTTGACGTCTAGTTGGAAAAATGGGACATCCGGTAGCTGCGGCGACGTGATCTTCAACACGGATGCGCCATGCGCTGCTAGGGATCGGCCGATGGTTGGGCCTGCAATTACCCGACACAGCTCAATAACACGAAGCCCCTGCAGACATTGACTCGGCCCACCTGCGGATTCCGTAAATGGAACCGGTGGCGTGTCCATGCTCAGAGGCTTTACGCTAAATAGCGGAAGAGACGCCATTGCTTGGCCGTGGGCGGTCTGCTGGTACATCTCATTGGTGAGAACTGGGATGCCTGCCTGGCGATATTCTTGGTTCAGTTTTTCCAACTCAGCTCCGGAAAAGCGTCTAACCGCTCCTTCGATCGTGTCGATGCAGTCATGATAATCGGTCAAGCCAGGGAGGAACGGGGGGAGGCCGATCATTCCCAGGGTCGTGGTAGCCTCCAAAGAACCATGTATGTGATAGTATTCGCCTCGGTTCCTGGTCTCGTAAAGGCCTGCCGATAGGCGGCGGTACAGGTTTGACTGAGCCCGATTCAGGTCGGTGTCTTAGAGATTATCAGCGCAACCATTTCTAACACTACGTACGTAGATATGTGAGACGAACTGGGAATGCGTTCCTTGGTTTTGGGGTTACACTTATCCAAGCCGTCGATGTTGGTGATATATGCAGACATTAAAAGGGATGTCACGCGCTCCAGGGTGACGCTGATCACCCTCTCACGTTTCGGCCCCCGGATATCTGCAATGGCTGCGGCGGCGCATCCCTCCAGCGCTTTAAGTGCCGCTACCATTTCTTGCTCGCGCAAGGGGCATGGTAAGCATACCGCGTCTCCTGCATGAGAATACTTCAAGAACATAACCTGCCCAGCGTGTTTCAGGAACTCGTTTGGGAGCTCTGTCTTGGTAGATTTCCAGAGTTGCTTGAAGACATCTTCTGCGCCCTCACCTACCGAACGACTTCCCGTTCCCACATCAACAGGCAGAGTTGCTCTTGGTTGCTTGACAGTCATGATGGCGGCAGCAGGGCAAAGCATGGGAATAGGAGGATGGTTGTACTATGAGCAGGGAGAGAAATATCCAAAATAGTACGCCTCATAGATTTCAACTACTTAAAGCAGGGGCTTCCACGGAATATAATCACAAATGACAGTACGTATATCACAACATATTGTGATTCATCAGTTTCGGGCCACTCACCGCAACACCCTGTCGGTGAGATCGTGACTCGGACATATATAAGCAACGGAAATTTTTCAGTCTGGGGATGGTAGGCAGGCGAAGCGTGACCATTGCGCCAGTGCCAACAGTTCATCTGATAAAAATGCATATGACGATGCTGACGTATAGAAGAGTTCTAGAAACATGCCACTAACGTTGCGAGTCGCTGTCACAGCCAATGCCTTGAAGACAGACATGTGCCGGACAGTCTAGTTAAGAATGTCCAAGTCTATTGGTATGCCAACTTTGGCAGGGCACCCGACGATGCGAGGATGATGCTTGTGGTTGCCAAACTGCGGGATCCATTGGCATGAAATACGCCAATATGGCTTCAAAGGGGTGGCAGAGGCTGACTGAATCTAGTTGGATGGTCAGTATTGAAGACGACGGAAGGTCACCAGCTCTCGAACAGTAGCATCTCTAACTCGTTTCCACAGAAGCGGATTGGCCATCCAGCAATGGAGGACGCCAGCCTAGCCTCGAAAATAAAAGGCTCAATGATATCTAACGACATAAGATTGACGTCGTAAATTGGAGGTCTCCATCTGATAGCGGCTCGGTCCGCGCGTCAATTATGACGGGATGACGGGATGACGAGCTACTATGAGACAGACAGTTGAAGG